CAGCACTTTAGGAGGCCAAGGCAGGTGGATCATTTGAGGTCAGGAGTTCAAGACCAGCCTGGCCAACATGGCAAAATCCCATCTCTACTAAAAATACAAAAATTAGCTGGGCGTGGTGGGGGATGCTGAAATCTCAGCTACTCGGGAGGCTGAGGCAGGAGAAATGCTTGAATCCAGGAGATGGAGGTTGCAGTGAGCCGAGATTGTGCCACTGAACTTCAACCTGGGTGACAGAGCAAGGCTCCATCTCAAAAGAAAAGAAAAGAAAAGAAAAGAAAAGAAAAGAAAGGAACTGAAGAAACAAGGTGAGCCTAGGAGATCATGGATTCGTGGTGTGCTAGTGAATGTCAAACAATCAATGTTCCAGGGCGAAAAATTCCTAATAGTGTGTGCCAATTTCTGTGGTGTAAATTCTCCCTCCATGCTGACTTCTAGTTTCGGGTGTGACATCTCTGAGGACAGAGTAGGAAAAAGATGTGTGTAATGTGCCTCATAAGTCAGCAGAGGCCGCATCCAGACACGACTGGAGCAAATCAACTCTTTATGGAATCTTTCTCCCGACAAGCATCTGTTTTTGGAACAGTTGCCTACAGGACTCTCTGTTTTCAAAGCAAAAGAGACTCATCTAAGTGGGCATCCACTATGCGGAGGGCCTAAAGCAGATGTTTAAAATACACAGACTCATTTGATGCCCCCAAGAACATACCATTTTATAGACGAGAAAACTGAGTCTCAGAGAGGCTAAGTAACTTGCTCAGGGTCATACAGTTAGTTCAGGGCTGGGGCCAGCATGGGAATCTGAGTCTCGGAGAGGGTGCTCAGGGTTGCGAGGCTTGTTCAGGGCTGGGTCCAGCCTGTAAATCCTTTATCTTTTTACTCCCACTCCTAATTCCTTCAGTAATACCTTCATCCCAGCTTAATGAAACTTTAATTCTAAAAGCAGATGCTCTAAGAGCTGGGACTGCTGGCGAGACCAGAGGAGAATGCACACAGGCCTGGGAGCTGGAGTGCCCACTGCCCCGTGTCTGCAGGCACCCTCGTTCCTGACCATGGCAAAGCTGTCCCTTCTCACTGGACAGTGGTTGTCAACTTTGTCATAAAATCACTGGGATGGGTGGCTCCAGTACTGTGAGGGGGAATTTATCTCAATTGTTTCCCCTAATTTTATCTAATTTTCATTTTCTGCACAGTCTGTCTTTAGAATCCACAGTGGGCCAGTCAACTCCCCCAAGACTGTGGCCAAGTCACTTTCCTCTTTTGGTGTCATTTCGCCTTTCTATAAGTAGTGAAGGGGTCAGCTGGAGGCCTCCCTGTGTCCACCCCAGATTCGTGCCAGCCTGATGAGGCTTTGTGTACAGCAACAGGAGAGGGGGTGCCAGTGCGTATTGAGGAATTACGTGTCCTAGGTGTGTTACATGTACTCTCCACTTGACCTCCACAACTCTCTGGAGTATGCGTCATTACACTGAGGCCTTTTGTCTAACTGGGGAAACCAAGGCCAGAGCATTCACGTATCTCGTTGGAGTTTGCCCAGCTGGAAAGTGCTGGACGCGGGAGTGGAATCCAGGGGTCTGGCTCTAGAACCTGGCTCCCAGCTACTATGCCCTTAGACCTGAGGAAAGGGATGGAGGGCAGCCTAAAACAGAGCTATCCTTTTTTCTGGCAAGGTTATGGTACTTTCTTGTGTGCTAGAGGGTTATGCATGTCATAGTTATTCAGCAGGTGGATTGATAGGTTTGTGGATAGAGCAGTGTGATGAGAGGTGGGTCCAGACACTCTGGTGCTTAGAACTTGCATTCAGAGGATGCATATTTTGAACCGATTGTCCATGTGGCTTGGAAGGCATGTAGGGGAGAGAGGGGAGGAGTGGGGGGAGGTGGCACATCTGCAAACGGGGACAGGGAACACGTTCAGCTCCCAGGGTTAGTGTGAGAATTAAATGAAACTGGCTGCACTGACTACACTTGGTCCCCTCTCTTGTCGCTCCCTGGCTCTATTTCCTTCGCTGCACATACCACAATTTGTCCTTATGCATTTGTTTCTCTAAATGCTTATTGCTCCCAGGGCAACTTTCTTAGGATAGGGTTCTATTATATTCCTCAATGAAAAGCCATGATCTAGCAGGTGCCTGTCACATAATGCAAGCTCAGTTAGTTAGAATGAATGACTGAAGGTATTGTATATAAACTACCTGGCACAGTACAGACAAGAGGTGGTCCGCTTCCAGGGAAACCCGGACCGTCTGAGGTAGTTATTTTGCCCCTAAGCACAAGCCAGCAACAATTCTCACTTTCACCAACCCTCTCTACACACATATACACACCAAGTCCTCCAACCCTGGTTCCAGTCTGCCTGGTGCTAAGGAGGGAAGCATGACTTTGCAAAGCTGTTTGACAGCAAAAGAGAACCACTGAGCCCCCTGACCCCTAAAATTGCTGTCTTAGCTAGAGTTACCATAATCAAATTGGCTCCTCCCTTAGCGGTTCTCAGATAGGAGGAAGTGGTTTGAAAAGGGTGTACTTATTTCCTTCGGAACTTGTAGGGAGATTGAGAGAGGGCGGAAGTTGATCACGTGGTGTGACCTCAAGGGATATTTTATTGCAGGAAGAGAGGGATAGATGGGAGGATGGATAGACAGATAGATGGGCAGATAAATGTACGAACAGGACCCTTGGCTGCTAACAAGAACCAAATGGTTTGGTCTGAAATATGCTGGAAAGTTTGATGGGAATTTTAAGTTTCAGCCTCTCTCAGAGCTGGGAGAAATACATTCTTGATGAATGTCAAATAAAAACTGAAAACCCAGCAGCATCTATTAATTCAGGGCACTGATTTAGGCGCACTAGAATGAATAATTTCTGTCTTTAAGAAGGCTCATTTCCCTTGGAAATACATTGCCAGATTTCACCATTCAGAATGGGGAAGTTTTCTTCCGAAAGTGACTTAGGAAAGTTTTATTCAGAAAGTGACTTTAGTTTGCTGCAATGCAAACCTACCCTTGTCTGTTTCGTTTATATTAGATGGAGGAACAAGAAGAAATACATATTCAGAAAAATGGAGGAGTGCCCCACTCATTGCTTTAGCAGTTTAATCCATCATATGTAGTACTGCTTGTTAATAGCTTTCTGCCTAGGAAATATAAAATGGATATGATATATTTTAATTGTCTGATTTAGAAATGATAGCAATAGCTCCTATGTAGTACCTATTATCTCCTAGGTAGTACATGTAAACTTCTTTCAAACATATAAAGAAACTGGTCTTCTTTTTACAAGGAAAATACTAACACTCAAAGGGGCAAAGTGACTTGCACAGAGTCACAGAGTTCTTTGCTGGCCCCAGAATGTTGACTCAGGTGCGGCTGATTACAGCACAGTCTTTCTATGTTGCCATCTTGCTGCTCTGATCTAGATTCTAGTTCTGTTTAAGGTGAAGGAAACTAATTAGATTTCAATTTGTCTATTCCATAGGTTTTTAACGTTATTATTATACTTTCAGAGCATATTAAGCACTCTTAAATAGAATTCTTCTTCTTCTTCTTTTTTTTTTTTTTTGATAAAATTTCACTCTTGTTGCCCAGGCTGGAGTGCAGTGGCGCAATCTCAGCTCACTGCAACCTGCAACCTCCACCTCTCAGGTCCCCCCGAGTAGCTGGGATTACAGGCACCCGCCACCACAGCCAGCTAATTTTTGTGTTAAATAGCACTCTTCTGAATGGAGACTATTAGTTGCAACATACTTGCCAGAATTTTGACCTGAGCTTACCTCTCCAGTTTTCAAAGTGCCACAGCCCAGTTTCACAGCTCAGCATCTCATAGCAAACCACAGAATGACAATTTAAAGACAATTTAAAAACCCTCTTCCTAAAGTGAAGAGGGTACTACTTTAAACACAAGCCTCAGCCCTGCATCCGCTTGTTCTCGCTGAGGCTCCCCCAACCCTTTAGAGCCCCTCACTTGCTTCTACCTCCCACCAGCTATGGGACTTGGACAAGCCACCTAACTTCTCTGAGCCTCATTTTCTCAGTTTTCAAAAGCAAATAACAACCACCATCCTATAGGATTGTTCTGAGGATTGCAGAAAAATAACTTTTTATGCATTGCTCCTCCCCAGTCACTCAGGATGGTAGATATCACCTCCTGACACCCCTATGCATAGCCGCAAGTGAGGACATTCTGAGGCCAAAGCTCAGGTCACTTCTTTGACAACAGGCTCTCTCCATATGTACGCACCTAAAAGAATGTGGAGTGTGCCTTTTTCCTTAGAAAATTCCAGTTGTCCTAAATCTCTTCCAACTCTAACATGCTGTTTCCAGAATTTATATACTCCACATGTTTGCCTTTCCTTTGATTCCTCCTTTCCCCCATACACATCCCAGCTGCTCAGATTGTTATTAATTATCTTTGGCATCTTCTTAAAGAAGATGCAATCACACTCCAAGTAGCACTATTGCAATCCCTCAACCCACCTGGCTCCATGCACCTTTAGACATCATGACTCCAGCCTGATAGCATTTACTGAGCACCTGCTGTATGCTGAAAGTGGCCTGGGCACTTAGCATACGTCAATTTCTTCACTTTGCCCTATACCTGGGTGCATTATGTACCATCAGTGTCACTTTACAGATGAGAAAATGAAGGCCTGGAGAGGTTTAAATGACTCCCTCAAGGTTGCACAGCTAGGAATTCTGATGGCAAATCCTAATTGTCCTTTGTAAGAAGCCTGCTAAGTGCAAGCCTTTTTGGCAGAATGTTTCCTCTGGCAACATCCTGTCCGTGCTCCTCCAGCCCTTCTCTCCACAGAATTATGTATCCAACACCCACTGAGCCACTGCAGTGTGCTGGGCACCAGGTTGGGAGCTGGGCTCCTCTCAAGACATTGCCCCCCCTGTGCTCAGGGAGCTCCTCTCTGGCTCCAGAAAGTCGACCCCTGCCAACTGTGTGTTGAAGAGGTCCCGAAGTCTTTCCCCACCCCATCTCTGCCACATCCCCCCAAAATACCTTCACACACTGTGCATGACTCCTGTGGGAGCTGTCTGCAGAGGGATTGCTGGGCGCAGAGTCACTGCCTCTCCGTCTGTCAACTGCTGCTGCTCCGGAATAAACAGGCAGCCGGGCCTCTCGCGAGTGTGGAGAAGCAGCCCATGCTACCCAGAAGAACTGCAGTTGCTAAACTGGCCGCATACTTCCTCTGCTAGGAACGAGGAAGGCACAGGGCTTGCAGAAGGGCAGGTTCCTGTTTTCACTAACCACTCTGAGTAGGCTTCTCTCTGCAAGGACTGGGAAGATAGACGCATTATTAATTTTTTTTACAAAGCACTTGAGAATATGGCCAGCTTAACTCAAGATTCTGGGATTTCAGAAGCTTGGTCTTCTTTCTCTAATTAAAAGGCAAATTGGTGGGGCTGTGAATTTGCTCTTGTGCATCCCTGGAGCTCGCTGGGCCCACAAAGGCTGTGGCTGAGAGTTGCAGCTTCTCTGATTTCGGTTTCCCAGTTTTTGCGGCTTCCTTCTGTCACTGCCGAATGGACCCCAGAGCAATGCTTTGAGATTAAAGGAGACTAAAGAGACACAATGACTTGGTGCAATGTGTGGGTCAAGGGAAAAGAATTAGAAAGAACATTATGGGATGGTAGTTGTTTGAATATATAGTGCACAATTGATAATATTGTCCCAGTCTTAAGTTTCTTGGACATGGTAATAATAGTGTGCTTATGTGGGAGAATGTCTAGTTCTTAGGGGACACATGATGACCAAGAGGATGTCTCGTATCATGACAGCTATAGCTTTCAAAGAGTTTCTTAAAAGAAAAGCTGCATCCCTATATCCACAGCTATTATGTTGGCACAAAAGTTATTGTGGTTTCTGCCATAGAAGTAACGGCAAAAACCACAATCATTGTTGCACCAACCTAATACATCTACATCTATATATCAAGACACAGAAAGAGAATGAGAGAGACAGAGAGCAAACAGGAAAAAATGTTAATACTTGGTAAGTCTAGGTGAAGGGGATATAGGTGTGCATTGTTCTACTCTTGCAACTTTTGGGTGAGTTTGATGCTAAAATACATGAGTCTTTATGTTATATATTACAAAACGTATGTTGTATATGTTATACGTTATGTAAATATTGCATATAAAATCTCCCTACTTAAAGTGTGTGGGTATCAAGAGAAACTCAGGTACGTGGGGCTTCAGAGCTTATTGATGAAAGAGGTAAAAGTTTCTGCAATGCTGACCCTAAGATAGACTGGGAATTGCTTACTTGAGCTTGGAATGCCAGGTAACCACACTGGGGTGGCCCTCAGACCCCCTCACAGCCCCTGACACCTCACAGAGTGGACAGAGCATCAGAGACTTGACTGATCTGCCCACAATCACACAGCTAGTCCCAAAGAAGAGCCAGGGCCAGAATCTACGGCTGGTGACCCAGGCCCCAGTCCAGTGAGGCCGACACAGCCACCCTGGGACAGTCATTTGGAAACCTCACTCTGTGTAGTTTGCAAAGATGAATCAAAACCCTCAGAGCTGCTTCTAAATTTAGCAGTCAGGCACTCTGCACTAGAGAGATGGTTCCTTAGACAACTTGTGAAAACACCCGCTCGCGAAGAGCATGCTGGGAAGGTACAAAGGAAATATTGCAAAAGACTGAGTGGGCAGTTTGCTTAACAGGTAAGAGGGGACAGGCAGAAATATGCAGAAGTGGAGATTTCCCCCCAAATTCACACAGAGGAGCAACAGAGCTTTGGACTGATAGTCAGAGGTATGAGTTTTGTGATGACTTTTTAATAGACACTTACCAAGCAAGAATCTAGTACAGATGAGGCTCTGAATTTATTCCCTGTCATTTCTTTTGTAAAACTTTATTGAGCAAGGCATATTCCAGGAACTGGGATTTAGCTGTAAAAAAAGATAATAATAATAAAAAAATAAACTGCAAAAGCCCTGCCCTTCCCTGTACTTAACTTAAAGGAGACTACAGAGACATGGCAACTTGGTGCAATGTGTGGGTCACGGGAAGAGAACTAGAAAGAACGTTATGGGGTGGCAGTTATTTGAATATATACTACACAGCAGATTCTACTACTTCACATAGGAGGAGTCCTATGGGAAAGACGGAATATGTGACTATCAATTATGGTGACCCACTGAGGAAACTCAGTGGGTTGATGGGACCAAGGGGCCCAGATGTGCTACTTTGCACAGGTGGCCAGTTGTGGGGGGATGGGCTCTCTCTGGAGATATCATTAGGCTGAGAACTGTAGGAGGAAAGCAAGCCAGCTCTGGGACAAGCCAGGGCATGACAGGTGTGCACGCAAGGGACTGCTGGTTTCACACAAGCTTTAAAAGTTTTGGGGAAAGACAATCAGCCCTAAAGATGTTCAAGTCAGAAGCAGAGGCAGACAAGAGAGAGGCCCATAGAGTGGGTTCCTGTTCAACGGGTCCTGTTCACAGGAGAAGCTGCAAAAGAAGGAGAAAGGCAGGATGCAGAACCCTGGAGGTCAGGGCTGCAGGCTCTTCTCTTTTTCCAGTGGGTCATTGGGTGACCGGGGGGCTGTTGCTAACCTCCCCCAACCCCCAGCCCCGGGGTATTTATGACCTCCCTTTGGCCTCCTGGGGTAACTGAGGAAACTCGGTAGGTTTGAGAAAGTGTTCCTCCTACTGGACGCTGTGCTATCCCAAAGCCTGGGCTGTGCCAGAGCAGGGGAATGGAATGCAGGTGTCGGCCCTGGGCCCAACCAGAGAGGGCAGGGCTGAAACCCGATGCCATGCTAGACAGGTTAATCTGACCTTAGGCCTCTGTTCTCAGTAACCCCGAGGGGGTTCTCAGCCTCAGCACTTTGGACATTTTGAATCAGAGCATTCTCTGGGGTGTGTGTGCGTGTGTGTGTGTGTGTGTGGTGGAGTCGCAGGACTGGCCTGTGCGTTGGAGGATATGCCACAGCATCTCTGGACTTGACCCACTAGACGCCAGGAGCACCCCGCACCCCTCCAAGTCGCGACAACCAAAAATGTCCCAGAAATTGTCAAATGTGCCCTAGGGAGCAAAAATTACTCCCAGTTGAGAACCACTGGATCATACCCATCCCAAAATAAGACACGTGTGAAGGTTGTTCTTTCCTGGGTTGTAAAGTGCTGCCCTGAGGCCAGTTGGTTTTCCTGCTTTTGTGTGGACTCAGCTTTGCAGCACGTCTGCCTGTGCTCCCTGGTACACATCTCAGAAGCCTGCTGTATAGCAAGGCTCCTTTGGGTGGCTGTGTCACCCATCCTTCCTCTCCGCCATCATGCACTTAACCCAAGAAGAGGAAATGGTTTGCGGTCTGTTCAGGAGTCCCAGGGAATTAGGGCTTGGAAGCTACAGTCTGGGCAGCCTGTGAGCTGCATCTTAAAGGAGGAGCAGTTTGCTGTCAAGAACTGGGGTGGGAGCATGTGAGCCACGAACTGCCTAAGGAAAATAGAGGAAGAGCAGGAGGTGGACTTCTCACCGCAGAGGCCCAGTCAAGGAGGATTGTATTGTGAGTTCGCTTCCATGTCTTCCCTGCTCCTCCACCACCCTGACCATTCCTCTCCCAGCCATTTTCCACACTGTTCCTCAGTGTTTCACACACCTTTTTCTTCTAATCTATGAAGAAGTCTTGATTCCAAGAATATTGTCATTTATTCAAGCATGCTTTTCATACTCCATACATTCATTCAGTTATTCATTCAACAAACGTTTGTTAGCATTCACTGTGTGCCAGACGCTATGCATGTAACTGGAACATGTGCCAGGCAAGACTAGGCCCTACCCTCAAGGAGCTCAAAGCCAAAAACTCTTTATCCCTGTTTTCCAAGCCCAGCACAAAACAGTGTTCATTACGTATTTGCTGAATTACTTAATTTTGCCAACATCTATTGTAAATTTTGTGTATATATAACCTATATTCAGAGGACAGATAAGGAGAGAATTCTCAGTTTGTGTATGATGAACGTGTCTCCATCCCTCCCTGCCCTCGGGGAGTTTCTGATCTAGCAGAGGAGACAGACACACAGATCAAAACCCCAGGGTATAAAGAAAGACGTCGGTAGGGAGGGGCCCAGGAGAGGAGACCAGGAAACTTCTAGGGCTCCTGGTTTCACACAGGAACTTCATGGCACTGAGGCATGGCCGGACCACATTAGATTCCATCCCAGCAGCTTGGTCTTCTAGGTCCATGTACTGAGCACAAGAAGCAAAGACAAAAACACGTAGCAGGTGATGCCCCCACCAAGGACGTCAAGTGTAAGCATGGGGTCAGGCCAGGCTCTGCCGCACTGGCCGAATGACACTATCAGGAGGTCAGGCTTTAGGACTCACAGAGACACCCAGTACCATCTGTGTAGGAAGCAGCTGATTTCCAGAGGACTTTGCAAATTAATTAGAATTAGCTATCAGGCCGAGACTAATGGCCATAGGCAAATAACAACAATGCCAGCCATGCATGGATTAAGAATCACTCAGTTAAGTACTAGGCTGTGGTCATCACCTTTATTAAAGTGAAATGTTCCCCTATGTAAAAACTAGCTTTACACGCTTAGCGTTGTCGGGAGCCAGTTGTTATATTTCTCCAACTGGGGGTTGATGGATTTCCCAAGGGAAGCAATAAAAAGCCACTTCTCCAGCTTCAGGTCTCAGAGGAGTTCCAGGTTCTAGGAGGTGAAGAGCTCCTAAGGCAATTCAGCATCATGCGGTAGACGTGATGTTGAAGCCCCATGCTGGGTCAGAGTCACAGCTTGATACAGTATGAGCAGATTTCCATTCCTACTTCATAGCTTGATTTGTTTTCCTCTTTCAACATAAATATTCAAAAGTTTGGAAGAAGGAAAAGGCAGTCTTGGGAACTAGAAAGCTTTCTATCTATGGAGAAAACCAAGTGTAAGCTAGAGAAGTTCAATACCACTGATTGAATGCAAGGCATGACACTTGGTGCTATAAAACTGTTGATGGGATTCCCATATCAAACCATATGACCTTCAAGATCGCGTGCAAGATAGAAGTTCTCGAGAGTAAAATTTTGCCCCCTCTATGGCTGGATGAGTGCTGACCCACTCATACAATAATTTATTTAATAACAGTTTTTTGAACCCCTTCTATGTGTTAGGCATTGCTCTGGGTACGAAGTTAGAGAAATAAATGAGTAAAGTCATAGAAGGGAATTGAGGGCATGGGAACAGTAAGAGGAACTCTCCCCTTAGAATGGTGACATTTGAAATGAGTCCAGAGTGACTCTGATATGAAAATCAAGAGGAAAAAACACCAGGCAAAGGACATAACAGATACAAAGGTTTGGGGCTGGAAATTCTTGTGTTCAAGGAGCAGACAGAAAGGAAAGGGAATGAATTTTGGGGAAATGCAACTTGGCTCTTGCTTATATTATGTATTTAGTCTTTCAACTCACTCTATGTATCTAGACATCACCTGAAGAAACTGGTGCTGATAGGGCTTAACTTAGTTGCCTCCAGTCACCCAGCTGATGAGTGACACCACTGGGCCTAGGCTCATGAGCTCTAGAAGTAGGAAATTTGCTGTCACTATTTCACTAGCCTCCCATTGGGTCTTCCCACATCCCACCTCTCCCTGCCAATGCTCCCTTCCCATCCTCTTTCAGCCCTGTGTCTCCAAATAAGACTCAGGCCCTGCAGTCATCCTCCTCAAGCAGCTGCCCCAAACTCAGGACCATCTTCATCCTTTTCCCACAGGATCCACTTCACCCCTTTCCTGGCATTCAAAGCTCATCAATCTGTTCTCCACCCTCCTTATCAGCCCCATGGCAATGTCAGCACTTAAGGCCTCCATGCCCCACTCACCATAGGAACTCCCCTACCACTGTGCACTGTAGACAAGCCCCTCACCTCTTCCTCATGTGCTTCACCACTGCCCTTCCTCTCCTGTGTGGATGCCTTTCCCCCTGCAAGGGCATGGGGCAGGTCCCTTCAGGCCCAACCCAGAGCTAACCTTGTCCATGCATCTTCCCAGATGCCTCTCAGCCAACAATGATTGCTCCCTCTCAGAAGGCCCCTTGGTGTTTTATCTGTATCGTAGGAATGCGACACATTGCATATTGGAGTAATGAGCAAGAGAGGATTTGAGGTACTTAGGAGTTGTGTGATCTTGTGGGGCTTTCTGATTCTTTCTCTCAGCCTAGTGATGTTTCTGATACTACTTTATCATGAGAATCCATACATAATAATGTGTACAGCCCACCTGGTCCAGTACAAGGCACATAGGAGAGGACCACCAGATAGAGGTGCTTTTCTTTCCTTTCAAATTGGAGCCTGAGCTTGGGAAGGCAGGAGTATGTCTAACCATGACCACGTAGCCTAGCACAGAGGTTATCCCCAAAGATGTGATCCATAGCTATCCCTCAATAAAAGAATAAATGAAGGTTGTGCCTTTTGAATTAAAGTACATACACTGTAAATGGTGACTTTTCACCTCTGGGGAAGACAATAAGCTAACTATGAAAACCATCTGTGGGGAGAGCAGACCCTATTGTTTCTCTGGAGATAAAAGTTTATGTTTCTGGAACATCTCTAAAGTTGGATCAGTGGTCCATCTGGATGAGCTGATTTCTCCAGCTGGAGTGGAGCCTAAATGTATATGTCATCAGAATCTTCGGGAGGTCTTTTGGCACTAACAATATTCTCAGGAAGAAGAAGGAAAAAAAAAAAAAAAAGTAGCCGCTTTTTGTCCACCACAGCTGTCTGCTGCAAAGAGCTGCATGGATATGTTGATTCGTTCAAGCTGTTCTCTTCTGTTATTGCTCAACCTAGACCCACATCGGGGGAGACCTTACTGTTCTTAGCCATGCAAGGGTTGATGAAGAGGTCAGCAATGTTCCCAGAGGTTGGGAAGTTCTCTGCTCAACCTAGCCTCCACA